TGTTAGACAGGAGCCTCTAGTGTCATGGCTTCCCTCCCTCATGGCTGGAACCCACAATCTCACTCTGCAACACAGTATTGCTCAGGACTGGATGAAAGGGGAATCTTAACTTAAGACATTATAGTTGTAACTGTCCAAGAGTGACACACAAGGCCTCTGTATAAAAGCAACATCCCAAAACAGATAACTTTAAGAGGACTTAAGAGCAACAGTGTGAGGGTGGAAGGAAGTGGAAATGTCTGTTGACAACAAAGTACTTACTGTTAAAACACAAAAATGCCTTTGGGTAAGAAATTAAATGTGCTGCTAACTCTCATGTGTTATAATGACAATGCCAATTTTCAATAAAGCATTTGCCCAATTACAGAACTGCTCTGAGAAAAGAATTGCTTTGACAACACTATTTGGCCCTTTTAAGGGCCTTGACCTTTCTACCTGAAGAAATGGGTAACCAGAGAGCACTTAATGAAGACCCTAAGTGGGAGTAATGACTACCTGCAAGTGAGGTGGCTTCATGATTTCAGATAGGCTACCAAGAAACATAAATCACTCCCTTATACAGATATGACTATTTCTAACATTTTCAGTCATTCAAAAGGCTACTGGAGGTCCAGTAAATCTGAAAGGTAGGTTTACTGCAATAATTTTAACAAAGCCCCATTCACCAATAATAGCATTACATGAAATTGCACATTCATTACATCAGAAGACTTCAAAATGCTTATTTCACATTCTCCCACAGGAGGGGAGATTTGGTGTTGTCTATAAATGAATATAGCAAAGACAATAAGGAGAGCTTTGCCAACACAAATGACATCTCAAAACAGTAAGGAAAAATTGTCCCCAAATTCGGTCTAGGAAACCACTTTCACAACTGTCTCAGATACTCATTTCCAGTTTGGCCTTAGGATGCTCAAAATTTCCCCTCCTATGCTAAACTATAGCTCATCTACTCACAAATCAGAAAATCCAGCAAAGTAAACTCACCATTCTCTATGGCAGTGCAAAATTCCAAACATTTGTAAACACTGTACATTTTAATTTTGGCACAGGGAGAGCTTGCAGGTTCTTTGAAGTGTAGATTTTAAATACAACTAGCTCTTTATCTACAACCACTTGTAGCAAAGGCAGCATCAGTCTTGACATGGTATGTGTGCATGTACCTATACACTCAGCATGGGAAGGATCATCAAAATTATTCTTTATAAGTCTGAACAATTTAGGCACAAAATGGGTTAAACAGAAAACAAAAAATTCACAGTATCTAAAGCCACATACTTTCAGAAGTTCACATAGCTCTGTGGAAACAAAATCCAAACAGGTGGTCAGCAAGTTTCCTCTTTTCTAAAGTATACCAAGAAGTGTCATTACAACAGCTTTATAGAACCCAAAAACATTCATCAACTTCTTATTAATTACTTTTCAAAGGAGCCAACATGGCATTGAATTGACATACTCAAAAAGCTGTCACAAGGATCTTTACCTTTAAATATACTCATCCAGGAGCTGGGTTGTGGCTCAGTGGCAGAGCGCTTGTCTCACACATGTGAGGCACTGGGTTTGATCCTCAGCACCACAATAAAAAATAAAATAAAAAAAAGAACTCATCCAAACCAAGGAACCTTCTACATATTACATACATCTAAATATACACAAATTATAACTAGACCCCAACATTATCTCAAAAACTTGGCAGTGATTCAATCTTAAATTACACAAGTCTATGGCAGTTTGAAGGCCGAACTTGGTTCTACTGTTTCAGCCTACGATCAGACATGATATGATATCTTCAGATGGACTATAAAGAAATAGTAATACCAGCTTAAAAACTTGGCATAGATTATCAGAGTCTGATTAAGCACTAAAAGAAAAAATTAGATGCTGTGATTTCATTAATGTCTTATGGCATTGTGCAGCAGAAAACACTAAACTCCACTGTTATTTATTTTATATTTATTTTAAAAGCTCCTTCCTAATAATCAAGATTAGTGATCTTGTAATTGAATGCCCAAGACGACATTTGAAAAGTGAAAGGGGAGAGACGGAGACAAACCAGAAGTAGGATGCTGAAAGATAAGGGAAAACTGGTGCTACTTCCAAAAAAGCAGAGCCTACGTCCCCATAGACACAACTAAAAGATGAAGGGTCTATCTTTTAGTTAATTCTAAAAGATTTCACAAACTATACCTTTGCTTTAGAGGCAATGAAAAAACAAAATCAGAAATAAATTAAGATAGTTTAGTTTTCTGCAGGTAAACAGGAAGTTTGGCTCAAACACAGACCCCTAACACTGCAAAACAAAAACTAAAGAAAATGAAAACATACCTTGGATTCTGTAAGTAAAGTACTTGGTGCTGGGGTTTGGGGGAGTGGAAAAGGCAGTGAAAACTCCAGCTGAGGAAAAAGGAAGGAAACTGAGTGGACTCAGGAGTAAGTCTTGAGTATGAATGTACCAAAATTAGCATAATAAATATACAAACATAAATAAATGTGTAGTTCTTCTCTCATTTAAGTCTTACAAAAAACTGCAAGTTATATAAGTGGATTACAGGGCACAACTACAGATCTTCAGTTCTGATTTATAAGTTACAAAAGCATCTGACTGGCAAAAATCCAAAAAAAATGGAGAGCTATCAAACTTTACAAAGTAAGTATAGAGGGAGGGACAGAGATGAAATTTTCTAAAATTTTACAACATTCACGATGTTCTAACAAAACATTTAGTAAGTAAGCTTTACTTACTAGGGGGAAAACTAACATCCCTAAATGCAGAGAGCACACCACACTTGAGCTTCAGTTCCCAGGAAAAAACAATACCTAGAGAAAATGGTTCAGAGTCCCTCTGTTACCTTTACTTTTCTCACAGTGGGAGCAGTTTTCTGATTTCGCTAAGCCTGACATTTACCAGGTCTTTCTTTTGGGAGAATCATGTTAAAAATCTTTATTCTTTCTAAAGTCTCATTTTGGCTGTAAATCAGAGTCTCTAAAAACATTAGAAGATATATATTTTAAGGTTATTACTTGTCCCAAATTCAACAAGTACCACTCTTTAAAATATTTACCAAAAGTTAACAGGTATTTTTAAGATTTGCTGGTCATGAGACTTGGACTCTAGTAACCCCCAATCATCAGCTTTATCATTTGGCTTCATGTGCAAAGTAAGAGGGACTGAATACATCATTCTTAAAATTCAGAAACTGTGGCTAAAGTGGTACAGTGCTCGCCTAGCATGTGCGAGGCACTGGGTTCAATCTTTAGCACCACATAAAAATTAAAAAAAAAAAATTGTGCCCACCTTCAACTAAAAAATGTATACTTAAAAATAATTTCTAAAAAATTTTAAGAAAACTTCCCTTCTAGAAACTAATATGATAAAGGGACCTTGTGCTGCCTACTTCCTGTTTTGAACCTACAAGAACAGGAAATAAAAACCCTCCTGGGGCGGGGCTTCCACTAGAGTACTCAAGAAAACTTGAATTAAAGTCTCCAAGAATATTTGTTTAAATGGCCCAGACCTCAGAGCTCCGTCTCTGGGAATTTGGGTACTTTAATAAGTAACCAGGTGATTTTTTTGGTCCCCAAGTTCATTTGCAAAATGATGTATTCCTATCCCTGAGGATACATCAAGATTTTACTGTGTATGATGATATATGTATGGTAATAAGGAAATCAACTTGAAAATCTTCAGTGTCTACATGTATTGTCCTAAACCTGATGTGACTTAAGGTGACTAAAGAGATTTAGAGATATTCATTTTTCTTGAACTACTTCCCTTTTTACAACTGTCATACTCCCTAATTCTCTCACGCTAATCTTACTTTAGGTCTTTGCCCTGAGGTATGAACAACTCCAGAGGTACAAAGAGACTAAAAAAACCCTGGAAGGCTCCTAAGAGAAAATGAATACAAGAAAGCAAAGCAAGGGGAGCTTTGGTTAAAAAATTTTGTGCCTTTTCTTTTTAAAAACTAATCACCGGGGCTGGGGATGTGGCTCAAGTGGTAGCGCGCTCGCCTGGCATGCGTGCAGCCCGGGTTCGATCCTCAGCACCACATACAAAGAAAGACGTTGTGTCCGCCGAAAACTAAAAAATAAATATTAAAGAATTCTCAAAAAAAAAAAAAAAAAAACTAATCACCGAGGGCTAGGGATATAGCTCAATTGGTAGAGTGCTTGTCTTGAATGCACAAAGCCCTGGGTTCAATCCCCAGTACCACAGGGAAACAAAAAAAGACACAACTTATCACTGAGAAGGCTGTGCCAGATATACGCTCATATATTTATCTGAACTACAACATTTTCTGACTCAAAGTTTCATGTGATTTGGCTCATCAATCTTAAAATGATAGATTTTGCCAGTTCATGTGACAGTACTTTTCTATAAATTTAATCTGCTAAATTTATAGCTCCAAAACTTTGACAAAAATATTTCTGAAGTGTACATATAATATACAATATACTAAGATGGTAGGTATACCCTTTGTAATTTTAAAATTTAAAAATTGAGATCTCATATTAAAAATGTGCAAAAGGAAAACTATTCTGGGAGAGAACGATGAAATGGTTAAAGGACTGTCTCAAAAGTAAATATTTTGCAGTGAGAGGAGTATCCTACAACATGTTTAGAGTGGTGATGACCATTTGTGTGTGTGTGTGTGTGGTGCTGGGGACTGAATGCAGGGCTTTGTGCAATTACTCAGATTTTTAAAACTCACCCAAAGGGAACATTTCATTATGTAATTATATCTAGATTTTTTTAAATGTGCAAAAATTTATCTACTTTCTGTTTCTATTTGTGTTAGCCAAATATTTGATAACCATTGCACCTAGTTTAAGTGATGTGCAGTGGCACATGCCTATAAACCTAACTACTTAGAAAACTTAAGGCAGGAGGACCATGAGCTGGAGGCCAGCCTGGGCAACACAATGAGATCTTGTCTCTTTTAGAACTAAAGGGGAGGAGAAGGGGAGAATGGAAGGACAGCAGAATAAAATAGACATTATTAACTAATCAGATTATTTGTTTTTTTCATCGTTAATCCTAGTATTTTTCTAATAACTACCTTGAATTTTGACTCCAGAACAACATTAAATAGAAGGCTAGGGAATAAAATTTTAAAAAGGGTTAATCTTCAAATAATCTGATACATGAATGAATGAATATTTATGTTTATACTGGTAACTGTTCCCTCCCAGATCTTCATCTTTGGAGGGAGAATTGAGTGACTTTTATGTATCTTTTCACATTAATGAAGCCCCCAAACTGATCATCTAGCTCTAAAATAGTCTTAAGTTCCATATAAGCTTCAAAGCAAAAACAATCCAAAACACAGATGTTTACATGTACAAATGAACATATAAAATGGGTTACACTTAGTAGAGATAGTCAACACTGATGTTTCCATACGTGACCTGGTGCTCCTAATTAATATTTCTTTGCAATTGATTCAACTATGCTATAAAAACCTTAATAACTAATTGAATCTCTTTCTTGCAAATAGGACATGAAGCCCCAGCCTTCTTTAGTCTTCTGGCACAGGGAAAACAAGTCGTAAGATGGCTTGTCCTTCCATGAATAATATTCCCGTCTCGTGGTCTTTTCTCACACAAGCTACATGGCTTCAAGATATTCTGGCAATCCTCCATATTTTCTACATCTGTTCTCTGCTCAGAGACGTTATCTGATTGCTCTCCCATACTTGAGATGGTCTCTTGGCTTTCAGAACTGTGAGCCAAATCCAAGAATTCCACTGAGTTGCAGGGATTTAAAAGTTTAGAATTTCCTTCCTTTATAGATACATCTTTAGGTCTAACAACTGGAGCTGAAACAGTTCTTCGGCAATCAGGGACATCAATTCCTTCACTTTCCTTCTTTTCAGGCACGGCAGTGATGTCAGATGTGGAGAGAGAATGTGTTAATTTAGAACAATCTGAATACCAATCCTTCCTCAAGGCCCAGCAACGGAAACAGTACCTCTTGCTTGGAGAATTAAATTTCTTGCATTCAGTACACTGCCACTCATCCTATAAAGACAAATACAGCCAATTAATACTCAGTAGTGAACTGAGGAAAAGGGAAGGAAAGCTGAATTCTTGACATCTCACTAAGTTAATGATAGATGAAGAAGTCAAGACACACCAGTGATCCAGCCTAGAATTTGAATAAAGTCTACAGCCACATGAAAGAAAGTCTTTGGAAATTTTACACTTAGGATACTCAAAACTGCCATTTTCAGGAGCTGGGGGTTTAGTTCAGTTGGTAGAGTGCTTGCCTCACATGCACAAGGCCCTGGGTTCAATCCCTAGCACCAAACCCCACCCCCCCAAAAACAAACAAACAAACAACAAAACAACAGCAACAAAACAAAACAACAACAAAAAAAACCCTGCCATTTTCAAGTCAAAATTTGATATAGCTATTTTTTTTTAATATTTATTTTTCAGTTATCGGTGGACACAACAACTTTCTTCTATTTGTACGTGGTGCTGAGGATGGAACCCAGCACCCCGCGCATGCCAGGCAAGCGTGCTACCACTTGAGCCACATCTCCAGCCCTGATATAGCTATTTTTAAGAAAGTTCAATTATGTGGGTGCAGTGGCCCACACCTGTAATCCCAGTGACTCAGGAGGCTGACAAAAGGATCATAAGTTCAAAGCCAGCCTGAGCAACTTAAGCAAGACCCTGTTTCAAAATAAAAAGGGCTGCTCAGAAGTACAGCACCCCTGAGTCCAAATCTTAGTACCACCAAAAAAAAAGGGGGGGGGGTGTTTAAATTATTATTTTCTATCCAGTCAGAATAAAATTTACATTGTTTGCTCTTCCTTGATGCCTTTTTTAGGTCACTTTACTATGTACAACTCATTCCTTTATCCAATGAGAAGGTAAAGAATGAAGAACAGACAATATTCTTTCTTTCCTACTAATTAACAAATATTATTAAACTTGACAAAGAGAAAACTAAAAGTGAGATCTGAAAACTACTCAATTTTACTCATGTTCTCTCACTGCTCTCAAGATCACAGGTTATTAATTGTATGCCTAAATCATAACCTCTGAAAAATGAATGTTCTTGTCCTGAATGCCCAAGTAATTTTCCCCTACATACATTAGGAAACATTAGAGCCCGATGAATTTTAAATGCCTTACTTAATTCAAAGGTAGCTACCTGGAACAAGTCCTGAGTGTTTAATGTAGATAATTGCTTGGCTTTGACAAGATCAATGATTTGACACTGGCAGACTTGATTTCTTTCAGGACAAAGGCCAAGCACTTCAAGTTGAGAAGTTATAACTCAATTGTCCAGACTGAGCAGCAGGGACACATCCATCTGTAAAACTGGGTTGTTCTCCAGAGAGCCACAAAACACCCTCACTAAGTTTAAGATCTTCCAATCTCATCTGAAATGCTACACAAATACTCAAAGGAATTTCAGAGATTTGGAATTCATAATTGATAATATGCCACAGTTTAACTGGCATCATTTGTTCTCTTTTAATAATAATAGGGCTTAATAAAGTCAATGGCATCTTTGATTTGATGTATTTACAGTCTATTTGCTTAATAAGTTTAGATAAAAGCATTTATCTCTGGTATTTACATTATGGTCAAGAACACTTAGTGGACCAATATGTTCTACTTTATCATTTTATTAGTTATGTAGATAACTTCAAAGAATTACCATAATGATCAACAGCAGTGCAGAGGGAGCAGGGGGAGGATGGACACCAGGGACAACCTAAATAAGTTTCTCTCACCAAACTACAAAATGTAAAATCCCCTTCTTAATTATCCCCCATTTCCTTTCTCCCAAAGTGAGTTAGCTACAAGAGGCACTAGAAGGAAAAATGGGGAAATAACATAAAAAAAAGAGAAAAGGAACATATACATTTGGGGTTAGATTTGTCAATTGGTACAAATTCATACCTATTATCTAAGAGGTTAATACCAAATCTTTAATAACCTTCAATTAATATTAAACTATATGGAAACTAAGCTGTTTTCCATTTGGACACAATATTTTTTTTTTATGTGGTGCTGAGGATTGAACCCAGTGCCTCACACATGCTAGGTGAGTGCTCTGCCTCTGAGCCACAACCCCAGCCCCTCCATTTGCTTAAGAGAACAATGACAAAATTATTTTGTACTCGTCAAAAAAATTTAGATAGCCTACAATTCTGTACATGGAATTACGGAAAGATAATTAGTAGGAAAAAGTAACACAGGAGTACTTTAACTATATCTCCATCATGCCAAGTCCAAAGAGTTTTGAAGGCAGGAACACAGAGGAATTTTGGTCATCCTTTCCAAAGTAGGGAGAAATTTGATCCTTTTCCCTTCTCAAATTCCAATAAACCCCTAATAAGAAGTAAAGAGCTGGGTGCATGGCGCACACCTGTAATCCCAAGGTCTTAGGAAGCAGAGGAAGGAGAATCCAAAATTTAAGATTAGCCAGGGCAACTAAGTGAGACCTTGCCTCCAAATAAAAACCGCTGAAGATATAGTTCAGAGATAAAGCACCCCTGGATTCAATCCCTGGTACTTCGGAAGGGTGGGGGCAGGGACACACATAAAAAAATCTGGTATCTCTTAGCAACAAGGAATGGTGGCTAGTTAAGGGCAGGGGAAGGTGTTCCTTCAACACAGTGTACTGCTGGGATTAAAGATGTGGCCAGTACAAAACAGCTTTTACTGGACATTCATACCTCAGAGGTAACTTCTATATCAGTATCATCACTTAAGGACTTAGAGTCCTCAAGGTCATCATTTTTCCCCACTTCAATCACCTGTGAAGGCAAAGACATATCATTAATAAGGGTTATCTCTTATAGGTAAGGCTATTTTACCTGAAAGCAAGACAAAATAGCTTCAATTTAAAACTACATTCTGCCTCCATCACTAGCACTTTTAAAAGGGAGCTAGCTTAAATAAGACCAAAAACATGGTTCAGCACACACCCAGCTGACATTTTAGTAGCAAATGATTGAAAAGGCCCTCAGAAGGGTTACCAAATATCTTCTACATTTAGAAGGGAGGTGTCCAAATTTACAACTACAGAAAATAAATAACATCAAGAGTAAAACAGTTACAAAATACTAAAAATAGAAATCGATCTTGGGAATCTAGGAAGACTCGAAGAATGAAAGCAAAGCCATTTAAAATTTTATTCTTCACACTGAAGAATAAAATTAAGCTGAGCATGGTGGTACACGCCTGTAATCCTAGCAACAAGGGAGGCGGAGGCAGGAAGATCACAATTTCATGCCAGCCTCAGCCACTTAGGAAGACCCTGCCTCTAAGTAAGTAGATACATAGATAGGAAGGAAGGATTGGGAACATAGTTCAGTGGTAAAGCAACCCTGGTTCAATTCCCAGTACCAAAACAGAACCAAAATAAAGAAGACTAAAAACTGGTTATGCGATATTCTGGTTGCCTTGCCAAAAAAAAAAAAAAAAAAAAAGAAAAAAAAAGTTAAAGAAAGGTTTGGGATCTTTGTTAAAAAAAAAAAAAAAAAAAAAACAGGAAACAAAAAGTTAAGAAATGTGGGGAATATCTACTTAAAACCCAAGTAGATAGCTTTGTGGTCCAGTAAATAGAACAAAAACAATTAGGAAAACAACTATGAACCTCTACATAAGCCTCTCCTCCCACATATTTATTTAATGGATGTTTAATGAAAATCTTCTGTAGGCTGACCACTAGATCTGCTGCCCAATTTCTTTTGAGACTTATGCTGCCAGTGTCACTTCATTTTAGTGTGTTCACACCATTTATAACACTCCTCTCTTCTCCCATTTTAACTCTAAAATAGGTATAAAAAATTCTCTATCTTACCATTTAGTTATAAAATGATCATGAAAGCTATGAATATTTCTAAGATACCAGTATTTCTTCTCCTACAGGAGCAAATACTGAGACAATTTAGAAGCTTGAATTGTTAGCACAGCAGGATTTCTTTTCCTTTAGTGCATTACGGCTATATGTAATAGTTGGGTTCATTGATAAAAATCATACATCATGGAATTTAATTTACTTCATTTTAATCCCCAATGCCCCCCTTCTCTTGATTGCCCCCTCCCCCTATTCTTCCTCTACTCTACTTATCTTCCTTTCCTTCCTTTTCTAAATTGGTGCTTTATAGATATACTTAAAGATGGACAAAGGAGAATTTCTAGAGGAGAAACTAGATAAGCAACAGGATAAAGAATAGCTTACTGCTTCTAATTAGGTAGGGGCTTCACCATGAAACTTTATCTTAACTTCTGGAATAACTTATTATGAACCTTAAAATTGGATATAGGGAAACATTAAAAACTAAAAAGGGACAAGTGTGTGAGAAATTTGTTGTACAAACAGATAACAGCAACCTAAAGAGATCATGCTATGAACACATAAAAACAATGAACATTAAATTTTCCAGAACGTACCTTTTTGTCACTCACTTTCCCTACTTCTTCACTTGCTTGTTCAGTATCAGCAGCTTCAACTTTTATTCCAACACCTAACTGCTCTGAAACTGACTCATTTAAAAACCACAAATCATCTGTAGTATCTGAAACAATGGCAGTACCTATATCCTAATAGAGAAAAACAAACATGAACTTCTATAATCAGTGTTTATCAGAAAATGTTGAATAGAAATGAACCAAAAACTTAGTATCTTCACATTACATCTCCAGAGAACATCTCACCTTTCCTCAACAGAAGTGTATATATTCAACACACATCTAGCTGACACCTACTGTGGATAAACAAATTCATGGATAGAAGTGTATATGGCAAGGAATTTTCTACTTTAATAGTAAACCAGGTATAATATTCAATAAATAGTACCAAAGAGTTTAAGGATTAAGGACCCAAAGTTACTTAACTTAATAGAATTCATTGACACTTGTTTCTACAAGTGGCCTCTGGGATTTGTAAAAATCATTCCATTAATTCTGACATATTCTTTCCTTTAACAGACAATGACTGCTTCCTGAAGAAATACTAATGGTAACCTAAAACCTATTACATTGCCCTTGCTATATGTCCATTCATTTATTCAAAAACTACTCAATAAACGCCTGTTACGTACCAGACACTGTTCTATGTGCTAAGTAAGGGAACAGAGCGGTGAATATTACATCTCAGTGAGAGTAATCAGATAATTAAATACATATGTAAGATACTGAATTGGATAATAATTGCATATATAAGACGCAATGGAGAATATAAACTAAGGTAAGGAACCAGATCTTGAGAAGGAGACAATTAGGGATGGTTTGGCAGGGCAACCACTTAAAACTGTACAACTACAAAAAAAAAAAAAAAAAAAAGGTAAATGTATCCCAGTGGAAATGTTCAACATGACAGCCTTGGTGACCAGGGATAATTATAAGGAAATTCCATTTGCAGTAAGTCCTAAATCATGAGAAGGCAATGAAAGAATTTGGGGGAAGACAGTTCAGAAAGAGGAAAAAAATAAATTTATGTTGCCTGAGGGAGGAAGGAATTTTGGGCTACAGGGTCAGAAAGAAGCCTGGTATATCTGGAATGTACACAAAGAATGACAGATGAGGAAAGCCAGACAGTTCAGTTACGGCTATGGAAAGGATCCTAGAATTTATTCTACTTGCTTCCTGAAGCCACTGAAGAATTATACACGCAATTATACGTGTAACTTATCCTTTAAAAAATTTACTCTTTGAGTGGGGTACAGTGGTTCACACCTGTAATCCCAGTGACTTGGGAGGCTGAGACATGGATAAGAAGTTCAAGGTCAGCCTCCACAACTTAGCAAGATCCTGTCTCAACATAAAATAAAAAGGTCTGGGGGCCAAGGTTGTGGCTCAGTGGTAGAGCACTTGCCTAGCATATGTGAGGCACTGCATTTGATGCCCAGCACCAAATAAAAATAAAATAAAGGTATTGTGTCCATCTACAACAACAACAACAAAATTTTAATTAAAAAAAAAAAGGACTGGAAATGTAGTTCAGTGGTAGAGTACTACTGGGTTCAATCACTGGCACAAAAATTTACTCGAGAAAAAATTATCTATTAGACGAACAAGAATAACAACATTTGTGGTGTGAGGTGGCTACCATATCTGTGTGAGAAAGAATGATGACTTGAATTAATTTATGACAGTGGGACAGTAAAAAGTGGTGAGGTTCTGTATATGTTTTGGATAAAGAGTTAATAACTATGAATGTGGTCTATGACAGAGAAAATCAGTATGTCCTTGTGTTTGGCAGGAATAATTGGGTAGTAGTAGATTTATGAAAAAGGGAAGGCTCAGGAAAGTTCAATAAAACTAAAAAAATCAAGATTTCATTTACATATTAGATCCAAAGGGGAAGATGTTAAATAAAGAGTGCAATATGAAAGTTGGGCATTTAGGGGAGAGGTCAGGGCTAGAGATATAAATGTGGGCATCATATACATATAGACAGTATTTAAAGTCAAAGGAAAAAAAAGAATTCTTAAGACAATGCAACTTATGGTCAAGAGTAACCAAGAATATTACTCTTTAAAAAAAAAAAATAAGTTCCCTTTCAAACATGAAATTTACCTGATTTGTCTGTAAATCAGTTGAGCCATTACTTCTAGGTGTATAGTTGTTTCTCAAGTTTCCTAAAAACCACCAAGGCAGGCCAGCTACATCCCACTCCTCAAACCCAAGGTCCAACCTAGATGTCTCATCTTGGCTTAAATTTATCAAGTCTTCATCTATAGAAATTAAATAGAAAGAATAACTATGTATACAACATTTAAGAACTCACAGTCTCCTCAGAATACTAACAATCTCTTTATAAGATAGGTAAAAAGAAATTCCTATTCTTAATTAGAACCAGAAATCAATTATTTGTCTTAGTGGCAGAACCCAAATTGCTTCCTGTTTAGGCTTTATTAGCTAGTAATGATAAGAGAAGTAGATGATCATTTATGAAGGAATCTAAATCTCAAAAACTATTTGAACAATGGTATCATTCTAAAAAGATTTCTAAACCACCACATACTGGCATTTTAAACATTCACATCACTGTAATAACTAAACAATGACTTGCTCTAGTCCACGGTGCCTGGTAATGGCTCAATCTACAGGACTGCAAAATCATTGACAACACAGTGGCCTAACCATGAGATCAAAATGGGCAATCACAGGGTAGTTAAAGCAGTCATACTGTTATCACACACTTTGAGACAGTTCTCAATAATTCATATGCTTTTGTAGATAACAACCATTTATTAACAGTGAACTCTAGTTGTCAAATATACACATACATTAAGTCCTTTCTGGATTGGTAGACTCTTACTGGAATTAAGCATTCAGAAACACCACAAGTATTAAGGCCCATTTATTTCACATAAAAGATCTTGTATTGTACATGTGAACTACACTCAAGGCAATTATTACTGTAAATCTGCTGCTATCACATGAAATTCTTTCCCATACTCTAGGATTTTGTTCTAATTCACTCTTTGCCTACTTTCAGACTCTTTTCTACCTACCTTATACACTAGGCCTGCCAAAGGCAATCAGAAGTGCTTAAACGTGCTGAGCTCTATAGGGGTGTAAGAATTTCTGCAAAAAATTTGTCTCTTGATCCTTTATCTACTTACAAAATAAGTCAACCTGCTTATCATAGGCATATGGGTGGCATCTTTCTATTTATTCGTTGATTAAATGATCAGAAGTCAAATTTCTGAGATGAAGTCATAAGTATCCTTATCTATTCAAGCTCTATTACTGTTAAGGAAATGGAAATCTTCCCATTAAAAATTCCGTCCATGGGTTGGGGTTTAGCTCCAGTGGTAAGAATGCTTGCCTTTCAAGTATGAAGCAGCCCAGGGCTTGATTCCTAATACCATTAAAAAAAAAAAAAAAAAAAAAACCCTCACCCTATCTATAGATCTCTCTTAAAATCCTAAACTATTTATTCCCAAATTTCCATCACAAACTTCATATTGTGTCTTGAATTAATGGTTCTTTTATTTTGTTATTCTTTTATTTTACTTACTGTTTTATATATAGGAGCTACCAAGGCAGATGAATTTATGTATGCAAAAAATTCATCAGTAGCAAACCAATCAATAAGCAGCTATTTTCTAATCTTCTCTAAGGCATCCTATCTAACAGAAGATCTTACACTACTGCAGTAATCCCAGGTTGCTAAAAGAGCACTAGATCACCTTAAAGTTAACAATGGTTGAAAAGGATTTTTAGAAAAGAATGAAAAATATGACACATGCCCCTCCTAGTTCACATGAATTACTTTTTTGAGTTCTCTTATCTTCAAGTTTCTATGATGGTCCTAATTACAGCTAGTGCTTAAGATATCCAGATACCTTTTCTAAAAAATAATTACCCCTCCACAAAAAAAAAGTGTGTGTGTGTGGGGGTGCGAACAGGAGAAGGAAGTCTTAATCCAAAACTTACCTTCTCTAGAATTTCTGCATTTATGCTCTGAGGTAGGCAGTGCGGGAATATCACCCTCTTCAATTCTTTTCCTGGAATTAGAACTTTCCTCTGCACTTTGCTGAAAGAAGGGAAAGATGTCTATCAGTATAGTAGAAATGACTGAGACCAGGGGATGTAGCAGTTCCATTCTGGCTCACCAGTGTGTGCAACACAATGGGTTATGCACAAGATCTCTACAATTCACAACAGTCATCCAGTAAAGCAACACAACACCTCTCTTCAACCCATTATGAGCAAAGATACGAGAATCCCAAACCTGGGAGTGGGGGACAATGACCTCTACAAAAAGGTCAAAACTGTTTTTTAAGAGTATTTACCTGTACACTATCTAAGAGTATATGATCTGTATAAAGGTGCTAGCCTAGGGGCTGGGGTTGTGGCTCAGAGATAGTGCTCGCCTAGCACATGCGAGGCCCTGGGTTCGATCCTCAGCAACACATAAAAATAAATAAATAAAGGTATTGTGTCCAACTACAACTAAAAAAAAAGCCACTAGGCCTACCACAAAATTAGGCATATTTCAGACAGAATATGAAACTCTCACCATTTACCAATGATTTTAAAACTTCCCCAGGTTTGAGGAAACTTTAGGAAATGGCCTAACATGAACTTAATTGCAACAACCCTGTTAAAATTTTTAATAAAGCAGTTTTCTCAAACACCTATATACACAAATACATATACAATCCTTCACAAACGCACAGGCACACACAAACCCAAAGACAACGCAACTGGAAGAACTGAAGATCAGAAGTGCTACATCCCAAAGAAAGATTCAGAGACTGGAACTCTGTTATGGGCAGAACAGAGAAGGTTCACTCTGTCCCTGGTCTGTGAACTCCCAAGGACCTTTCTTATTAAATTCTTACCACATTTGAGGAAAGGCCTTGGGAGTCCAAGATCCACAGGTACAGAGAAGGGGCCACTCTGTACAACAAAAGAAGTCACCGTGTGGTGATTTTACCTTCGGTTGGTCTTGACTTGGAATATCCAAACTGTGATCCTGTGCGAGAGCGAGAGTCTGAGCAGCATCTGGATAGCAAGTAAAACAAAAGGAAAACCTTCCCTGGTAATAACCATTCTTTCCACACAAAAAGGACCTCAGCAAACAACACTAAAGCCAGGTTTGAGCCCTACAGATATACTTCACTGTTCTGGCTGGACAAGGCTCTCATTTGAAAGAAATAACCAGCACTAATAAAAAATAATGACAAAGACCAGCATGGCATGGTGGTACAGGTCTATAATCCCAGCTACTTGCAAGGCTGAGGCAAGAGAATTGCAAGTTTGAGGCCAGCTTAGTCAACTTCCTGAGACCTCACTTCAAAATAAAATGTGTAAAACAATAAACTATAGTTCAGTGGTAGAGTACTGGCCTAGCATGCATGAGGCCCTGGGTTTAATCCCCAGTACTGAAAAATAAAAATAACAAAGACCAAGATAGGCCACATTCAAAATAATACCAAAATATATCTGGGGAGAAGTGAAAAATTACTAAAAATGACAAGCTTTCAATTTTTTATATGAAAAGTAGCCCCAATCAAGAAATAAGAGTATTTTTATCATCTCTTCCTTTACTACCTAATTTGCCTAACTTCAAACAGAAACAAAAAATGTTTTTTTTTAATTTAATTTGTTTTTTTTAAGAGTCAGATTATAAAATCTGAAAACATAGACTTTCTCCCACTTGCTTTTAAAACAATAGCATCTTCAAGCAAACTGATATTCTAAGTGTCAGTGATGATTTATAATTTAAGTTTCTATTACCTGAATATATATTGGATTTTTTTAAACAAAAACTTAATTTTCCCAAATTATTACAAACATTTCCTAAGAAAGGAGATGAAGCAGACAAAAGTTTTTCTCAAGGCTACTAACAAAAAAAAAAAAAGAAAAAGAAAAAGAAAAGAAAAGAAAAATAAAAGATTATCCTAGATGAGAGAAATTCTTAGATATTGCATTAGCCTAAGAGAGAAATATATTCCAAAGACTTAAATATTTTTCAAGCAGAACAGATGATAAAACCTTGGCTACAGAAAAGAAAATTTAGTAACCCGATTCATTCATTATATGAAGCTATAGCTAATGGAAATGCATCCAAATAAATCAATAGATTTTATCAGCCATTACCAGGTCCAGAGATAAAATATTTACAGAAAATATCATCCTCATCTAATCAAGACTGCCAGAGGAAAAAAAAAAATCCAGATTCTACAACTGGTCTGACAATTCAGTTGTTTCGTGCAATGCAAACATCTTCAAAACTGTAATATAAAGAACATTATTCCTAGAAGTGTTTTTATATAAGCTAAGTGATGATACTAAAAGTTCTGACTACAGTGGCCCTCCAAGCAGTTTGACTAACATATACAAGGCAGGCGAAACAGTTCCTACAAAGCAATTATATTACTGTCACTTAGGCTAAAACAACTAGAAGCAAAAAACCAAACAAAAAAATCTAGGAAAGTCACGTGTAAAAAGAAATTTTAAAATAAATAAAGTTTTCAATCCCCAGTATTACAAAAATAAATCATACACACACACAGTTTGTCATATCTATTTCATTGTGTTAGAATACTCGGGGAAACTTAAATGATTTAAAAAGAACCACCTTCACAGGGTTGGGGTTGTAGTTCAGTGACAGAGCACTTGCCTAGCATTTGAGAGGCACTAGGTTAGATTCACATATACAAATAAACAAAATAAAGGTCCACCAACAAGTTAAAAAAATTTGCTTTAAAAAGTGGCATCTTCAAAATAAAGGTCTAGGGCTGGAGTTGTGGCTCAGTAGTAGCGCACTTGCCTAGCATGTGTGAGACACTGGTTCGAGTCTCAGCACTGCATATAAATAAATAAAATCCACTGACAACCCCAAAAATAATAATAATTTAAAAAAAATAAAGGTCTAACCTAACCCACTTGCAAAGGTGTAAAATAGTTATATGACAAGCATTCTGATTTGTCTTTTCAAGTAAAACACATGCAATTCAATTTATGAAAATTAATGGAGACGGCCAATGAGGAGCACGAATGCAAGAGCTAATCAGAGAAGATAATCAATCAAAATGGGGGGGGGGTGAGGTTGTAGCTCAGTGGTAGTGCTTGCCTCGCACATGTGAGGCACTGGGTTCGATCCTCAGCACCACATTAAAAAAAATAAAGGTACTGTGTCCATCTACAACTTAAAAAAAAAAATGATGTGCAATTTCCAGGTTTTTATTATTGCATGATGGTTTTATAGACAATGTTAGACAATCTGGGAGTATATGACAACTCTGTATCATACTTTTGCAAATGTTAAAGTCTGAAATTTTTTCAAAATGACAAGTTAAATAACGAATAAAAGTGTTTTAAATTAATGTTCAAGGGGAAAAAAATGTGTCCAAAAAAAATGGGTGGAGGGTCAAATTGTTAGAGGCAAGGGTTAAAGAGACATCAATATGTGGTATAATGGGCAGAGAAAGAACTGGCCTGTCAGAAATCTCTGCTCTATCATTTACCAGTAATGTCTAATATTGAGCAAATCACTCATTCTACACAGACACACACAAAAAAAAACCTGTTTCTTTAATTCTAGACCCTCCTCACAGGGTTGTTACATAAATTGAAGTGTTTGTTATAGAAATGTTCTTTATGATATATGACATATTAAATTCTGCAGAGAAAGTACCAAAAAAAAATTGAGAGGGGAGAAAAGGTGAAATTATACTCACTCCATATTTCAGACTTAGATCAATGAGAAAAAAAAAAATTACTAAAAAAGTAGATCAGCAATTTAAAAAGTTTTTCTATATACTTCCAGCCATTAATGACTATGACAAGAAAGCCGTATGATTTCACAAATCGCTGATATTCAATAAAGTTGCCATCACTTGCAAGACTTCTTAGAAACTTAGAGCTACATCTCTAAATGGGTGAAGTGAGCAAAAATGGCTCAATGAAACAAACAGGCTTCAAAAGTCAATATAAGTTCAAAATCATGTTGCAATGAGAGCAAAACCTCTTTTCCTAACTTTAAAGCATAAATCAATATTAGAAATTGATTCTTTCCGATCTATTTACTTTAGCAAACATAGCCAATTTAAAGAGATTATTTTGAGCTTTCTTCAAAGAACAATGCTACCTACAATCTAATTTAAACTCACAAAATGGCTTCATATAGGAGTGGAGGGGAGGAATTGTCATTATTTGGAAATGACAGTGTTACATTTCAGCTGTATCCAGTTTATTCACCCATGTCTATCATACCACTACTTTGGAGTCTTCAGATTCCAAGGCCAATTTCCTGAACATACCTAATAAATTCAAAGGACTGTATTTAAAAGGTCTAGAATCAAGCAAAGACTTAGACAAACTGGCATTCAGAAAACAGATTACTCAAATCATTAGGTGAATGGTTTTATGGGACCTTTATAATAAATGGATCAGATTGACAACACCTAAGCCCACAGACCTTACATGACTGATGTAATCAGACGACAGTACAAAAGCACCACCTAGGAAGAACTCTTGACAAAAAACTTAAACTTGAATGTATTCAAGCACTACTAGCATAGGAAAAATAGAAAGGCTGAAGAAACAAGTTAAACAATCACAAGGATACAATCTCCAACTCCTGAGTATAGGAAATTCTACAGGATAAATGATCCATTTCTTTAATAAATCAATGACATGGAAACAAAACAAGTGTTCTATACCACAGTAGGGTGTCTATAGTTAATAATTTATTATGTATTTCAAAAATAGAAGAGAGGATTTTTTAATACTTCCAACACAAAGAAATGATAAATGTTTGAGGTGATATGTACTGATTTGATCATTGCATATTGTATACATATGACAAAATATATTATACACCACAAATACAATTATGTATAATTGTATCTCATGAAAATGTAAATTTTTAAAAAAGTTGTGATTAAATAAAGGTATTAATTAAAATCAAACCAAACACACAAAAAAGGAGGATTAAGTTTTACGGATTAAAGAAATATGAGATGTATCAACCAAATGCAATGTGTGGACTTTGTTTGAATCCTGATTTGAACAAGCCAAAAATAAAAGATAAGTGCTAGGGATATAGCTCAATGGTAGAGTGGTTGCCTAGCAGGGCTGTGAGGCCATGGGTTTGATCCCTAGTGAAAATAAAATTAAATTTTAAAACTGTAAAATTTTGAGATAACGGTGAAAATAAAACAATAACTAGCATATGAAATAGGATTATGGAATAATTATTAATTTTGTTGGGTATAATAATGATGGATGTATGTTTGAAGGAAAAATGTCCTTATCTGTTAGAAATTTTTAAGTTATGTCTAAATGTAGCACGCATGACAAAATGTTAATAACTGCCAAGTCTATGTAGGCATCTGCCTAATTCTCAGTATGTTTGAAATTTTTCACAGTGAAAAGTTAAATAATATAGTAATAACATTCTGTAAGACAGACAGTATCCCCAGTCATACAAAAGACTGCATTCCATTTCTATTTCCATCCTCTTGCTTTCCCATAATTTGCCCCTTTGAACTCAAAGCTGTAATATAGACTGAAGAAATATGTGACATACCTGTAGTAGCAGTGGTTAAAGTGACAAGATTCTTTCTTAGCATATCATAGAGAGGGCTGTAAAAGAGATAAAATAAAAAAATTAATAACTCTAAATGCCACTGTTAAGATACTGGTCATGGGCTGGGACTGTGGCTCAGTGGCAGAGTGCTTGCCTTGAATATATGAGGCAATGGGTTCAATCCTCAGCACCACATTAAAAATAAATAAATAAGTAAAGGTACTGTGTCCATCTAAAACTAAAAAAAAAAAAAAAACATTTCAGTGGTTTTCCATTATATAACACATGTATCTCTGATATGTCATCCCCCAACTTTCCCTATTAAGTATAGAGAAAGAGAATCCTTTTCCCAGAACTGATTTAAAAAAAAAAAAAAAATCACTCTTAAGGTCTGGGGTTGCAGGTGTGGTTAGAGCACTTGCCTAGCATGTGTCAGGCACTGGGTTTGAGCCTCAGCATCACATAAAAATAAAGGTATTGCGTTCATCTACAACTAAATATATTTTTAATAAATAAATAAATAAGCTATATTAAATGTTAAGATATAAACGTCCAGGTTCTTGTGACTACTTTGCCCCCATTAAAAAACTGATTAGGGCTGGGCACTCTGGCCCACACCTGTAATCCCAGCTACTCAGGAGGCTGAGGCAGGAAGATTCCAAGTTCAAAGCCAGCCTCAGCAATTTTGGCAAGAATGTAAGCAATTCAGTAAGACCCTGTCTCTAAATTTGAAAAAAAAAAGGGGGGGGGTGGGGGGCTGGGGATGTGGCTCAGTGGTTAAGTGCCCCTGGATTCAATCCCCACCCCAGTACCAAAAAACTGATTAGTTTTTGGTTTAAAAAAAAAATGATTAGTTTCTAGTTACAGTGGCGCATACCTGAGGTTGAGGCAGGAGGATTACAAGTCTAAGGCCAGCCTCAGCAACTTAGCAAAGCCCTAAGCAAGACCCTGTCTCGAAATAAAAAATTATAAAGACTGGGGATGTAGCTTAGTGGTAAAGTGACCCTGGCTTAAAAGACAAAAACAAAACACAAACAAAAAACACTTGCTTACATTTTATGTCATCAGCTAACAGTTACCCAAGTTGGGATATTTCCTTCATTTTAATTGAGGGGCGAAGGTGGAGAAAAGTCTTACTAACTTAAGAAAATGAGCTAGAAGAAAGTAGTCTTTACTAAGCTACAAAGAAAAGTGAACAATGGTTTCTCAATGACTGACCAGCTTGACCTAATGCAATACACCCCATGCAAGAGGAGAAAGTCACACAAAGATCATCTTATCTCTACTATGATTCTGCCTAGGCTCACCATCAACCTCAAATTGTCCTGCAATTCTACATTTTTTTGATCTGCTCCTATTTTTCATCTTTGATCTTTCCTCCTATTTCTAATAATTACTTCACAAAATCCTAAACTAGCTACATCAAACTATCTCCTACCTGCATGATATCCAATCTGAAGCTCTCCTTCAACTATCCCCTCTGTGTTGTTTAGTTCTCAGCTTAAATTTCACTTCCTCATGGAAACACTAATATTCTAAAATTCCACCCACTCCTAACTTTATGTACTTCTTTTCTGTAGCGTATCTGTAATGCAATTTTACCACATATTAGTGTGATTATTTGATTAAAATGGGAAAGACCATTTATTCTTAAAGCTCTAAAAATCAAGACTGTGTTGCTCACTACTATATTCCCAGTGCCTAGCAAACGTATGCCAACCCCTAAATATCTGTTGAGTAAACGAATTAATCATCAATAACCCAAGAAGATTAATAAGCACTCAAAAAGATACACAATCCCTAACTCTTTCTACCTTGGATCTTTCACGGAGAAGCTCTGACGTCCCAGTAGTTCTCCCAAAAGATCTCCACCACAATAAACCATATGCTGCTCCTGTTGATCATAAAGCTGCTTCACCATTATATACTGGCCTAGATAGTGCATTACCTGCGTGGGAATAAAATAACATGAAAGAATCTGCTGGACTACTACCTAAAACAAAAATTATAAAAAGTAGATAAGGAAGTATGCTAGAGAAAGAGAACACATTTATAAGATTGTCAGTGCTTGTACACTGGCAATATAAAAGGGGTCCTACAACAGGATAGTTGTTCCCAACTACTAAGTACATCCACTCATTATCTTTATGGCCATCAACAGACTCTAGACAGAAATGTGCTCATCCAGGGCTGGGGATGTGGCTCAAGCAGAGCGCGCTCGCCTGGCATGCGCGCAGTGCTGGGTTTGATCCTCAGCACCACATACAAATAAAGATGTTGTGTCTGCCGACAACTAAAAAATAAATATTAAATTCTCTCTTAAAAAAAAAAAAAAAAACACTAGGATTTGTATTCTTTAAAAAAGAAAAGAAATGTGCTCATCCAACAGTGAGAAAAGTGATGAATCTACTTAATATCCCCTCAAAAATGTTCACTAGTTCAAATGAAAATGTCTGTTCTATTATTAAAAGCAATAAGCTTTAAATCTGCCTGGACCATAAAAATATTTCCTAAATCCCAGAGGCATATAAACAACTAGGCTTCTGCTGAGTTCACTTTTTTCTTTCTGGCACATGTACAGTGTTTAAGAAGCTAATAAGCAATGTATCTGCACAAAATAGAATCTAGGTATTTGACAAATAAATACTTATGTCTGAGGTTTTTTTCCCCCACAGAATTCACAAAATGGAAAAGAACAAGTTCATGATTCAAAACCTGAACATTATATTTTAAAATGCAGATGAAGCATTTCCTCTAACTTTTATTATGTCATCCAGGTTGGAACATTTTGTCAATGGACCTGTCTGCATTTTAGGATAAAACTAATGAAACTTATTGAAAATAAATGTTTTCTAAAGGTAGCAGACTTGGAAAAAAAAATTTTTAACTTAATAATTGGTTGTCATAGATCACAAACTAAAAAAAATCTTTATTTCTTATTTTTTATTTTTTTATGTGGTGTTGGGGATTGAACCCAGGGCCTTGTGCATGCAAGGCAAGCACTCTACCAACTGAACTATATCCCCAGCCCAGCTATCTTTAGATTCCAACTTCTTAGGAATTATTAAATATCTGTATAGAACTTTTCTAACATAATCCTTACTATATTGAAGCAATGATGCTCCTAATAACATCCCCAAATACATATTAATGGATTAACTGAGATCTCATATCTAATCTATTATGGGAAAATAAGATGGAGAAAAGCACCTACTGGAAGAAATAGGAGGAAGTTCTTTATATCCATCCAACTTTCCGAAAAAATAAACTAACCTAAGTATATAAACAGGATCTCCTAAAACACTCTGAATTTATATATAATACTCTCATTAAATCATCTGCCTCAACGTACACATTGAGAAACATGATTTAATAATAAAAAAATCAGAGAATTCCCCTTTAGGATCAAGATAGGGTCATGGTTCATAAAAGCTTATCATATAAACATAGGCAAATCTGCTTCACAAATAAAGATGGCATAATTCAGCATAACAACTTTAATGATATTAAAAAAATTCAGACTTTAGTAACAGGAGTCTTACATATAAGGATTCTAAAGATACAAATTCACATATAAAGATCTGAAATGCCTCCAGATTCATTTCTTTGAGAGGCATATTATAGCTCAGGAGCACAGCATTACTACAGATATGGAGTTTTTCAAGGGAAAAAAAAACACACTTCATAATTTTATTTCCTCTCTTTAGGAAAAGTCAGATATCTACCCTTCTAAATGCAAACAGTTCCAACAGATTAACATTTTAATATTGGGTCTTTTCCACTTAAGGAATTCAATTTGTCTTTGTTTCTTAAAAAAAAAAAAAAAAAACTTCACAAGCTAAATAAGTTATTTAAATGCATAAATGTTTAAAATAACTCAGTTCTCAGAAGAGTATCTGACACATTTATAATGAAACACTACTATAAATTCCTGCTTAGCAGCATATCTTGTAAATCATAGTGTCATTTTCTTAAATCTGTCCATGTTTTGCTTATTAACTCTGAGATCAATGAATTCATGGTTAATCTTATATTTAAAAGATACTTCAAAATGAATTCTAAAGAAAGTATGAAGTTCAACTTAACAGTCTTAAAGACAAAACAGCAAAAATCACCTCCCTCTGGTACCTCAGAGTAGAACTCTTATCTCTGATTTCAGAACTATTTACTGGATGCTCCTATTCAACTGTTCTTAAAAACTGAGAATTTTCATTGATGTCTTACCTCTTTAACAGTGAACATTTCACCTTCTGCACCTGCTGCCTGCAAAATCTTCAAAAGTGGCAATTTTGGTCGTACCTGATGTAAACATGAAATAAATTTGCTATTTACATTTCAATTATATTGGTCTCAAATCCTATGGAACAAGCAAATTTCTTTAAATACTTTCTTTTTTTAAAACAAACTCCGGAAGACACTTATCACTTAATAATGTACAATCTGCTCTGTATAAATCCTAATCAGTGAATGCAGCTATGTTTATGTTCTTCAATTCAATTTCCTAAAAACTTAAAGAAAAACAGGAATGCCCAATAATGACTCACCTTATTGACTCGTTCTGGAGAGATCCTGCAAGCACTATCAGATGTTGAACACTGGGCAGAGGTGGAATATGATGTCATTTTGACTGAAGAAACTGCAGTCTGTTGATAAAACTAAAAGGAAATGTATATATAGAAAACTGTGTCTTTAGCACTAAAAAAAAAAAAAAGTCAAAGAAAGTAAATAAAAAGACACATGTAGGGCTGGGGTTGTGGCTCAGAGGTAGAGCACTTGCCTAGCATGCCTGAGGCACTGTGTTTGATCCTCAGCACGACATAAAAAATAAAAATAATAATAATAATAAAATATTGTGTCCACCTATAACTAAAAAATATTTTTTTAAAAGACACATGTAATGCAGATATCTATCAGAGCATTCTACATGAATGTAATTTACTCATGCTGAGGTTCTCCGTATCTTCCAATCATTTTCTAGTTCAGATCCTGCAAAAACTTAAAAAGTTTAACTGAGACTAAAAACCATCTATGTCTTCAGGTGAAGCATGAAAAAGAAACAGGTTTGGGCATGCTCCAACCTCCATACTGATGTAAATGAGTAAATTGTTTTAGCTGAAAGTCATTTACAATCATTACTTCCTCAAAGGATATCAAGTTCCTTTCTCCTGGTGATGTGAAGACCCTCTCTGGAAGACAGATGTAAAGCTGGAGAAATGCCAAGATAAGATTCCAAGCATTTCAAGGAAAATCTCAGCAACATGTTGGAACATGTCTCATTGAATAAAGTGAGAGTCAACATTTTCAATATCAGCTTCTGAGGACTGAGGATAGCTCAGTTAGCGGTGTGCTTGCCTCCATGCACAAAACCCTGGGTTTGATCCCCAGCACTACAAAAAAAAAGAAAGCTTCTGAATGCACCAAACCTAAAAGGGCTGGGGTTGTGGCTCAGTGGTAGGGCACTTGCCTACCACGTGTGAGGCACTGGGTTCGATTCTCAGCACCTATATAAAAAAAGTTCACTGGCAACTAAAAAAAAAAACTAAAAATGGGTTAAACCAAGATAGACATATATCATCAGAGAAAAATGCAGCATGAATTGAAAGAAAATTTAAAATTGTTCACTCTCTACTTCTTTAAAAAAAAAACTATACAGAAGGAAAATAAATATTTAAATTAACTGCTTGAGTTTACCTTCAGGTTTTTAAAAATAGATGGTACTCAATTAGTGAAATTTGTGACTTACAAGTCACATGAGGAAAAGGGTGAAAGGAACTTAGAAAAACAAACAAATGCACTGGCTGAAGCTAACAAAATCCCTTATTCTTCAGAGAAAGCTAAACTATAATTCCTCTCTGCCCCATTAGCTTCCCTTGTTATAAAAGGGAGTCAAACAGGATATAAACACAACTTAGATCCTTAAATCTTTTAAAACTGGCTTTTAATTTGTACTTCAAACCCTACAAATATAAAAATCACTTGATCTCCTCAAACCTGCCAGTTCTGCAGTCTTCCCCCTCTCAGTAAATGGCTATTCCAGCCTTCTAGTTGTTCAGGTCAATAACTCATGAAGCCACCCTTGACTCCTCTTTCACTCCACACCCAGTCCATAAATAAATTCTTAAGCTGCGACTTCAGATTATGTCCAAAATCTAATCACTTCTCACTACTTGTTATTACTACATTAATATAACCCAACTCTCTCTTAATTGCATCAGGAGAATAACAAACTCAGTTTCTCATATACTCTCACTCAACAATCCACACAGACTTCTGTGACCTATGGTCACCAATTAAGAGCATTTGGGCCCATCAGTAACCAACCAATTCTGCAGCAGACCCAGCTGGGTATCCTCTAATTTTACCTGAAGATAGGGTCAGATGCTGTTACCGCTGTTGACTGGTGACAAGTCCTTGCTTCCCCAATGTTGAAGAATAACACCATAGAAGCATGCCGAGGCAAGGTCAGAGTAGAAATTAGAAGTTTATTAAAGGACAGCAGAAAAGACTTCTCCAGGAGGAAGAAGGGGACCCAAAAGATGGAAGTGCGGTTGTCTCTCCATTTTATAGTTTCTTTCAGTGATGGAATGTAGGTGGGAAGGCCCGAGGAGTGGGACACAGGTGGGCACTTCCGAGTCAGCATCTTCAAGTTTGCTGTTCATTAACATTTCTTTGGGATGGACTTTGGCCTTGGACTTTTTCCTGGACTTCATTAACATTCCAGGAGAGTTGCTCAACTTTTCTGGAATTCATTCTCAACATGGCCTCCATTTAGATTTCACTCGATATTAGATTCAATTTACCTAACTACACTGACTACCTAATTTTAAATCTGGCTTCAATGCTACAGATTGAATGCTCAATCCCAGACTGCGCCCCAATGCCAATGCTAATTGAAAGCTGCAGCTTGTTTTACCTGTGCTTCCAACTGAATGGCTACAAATCAGGATTCCCACAACCCCCTCCTTAGAACCAATTAATTTGTTATGGAAACCACATCTAATTTATTATAAAGGATATCGATGAGCACCAAATGGGAAGCACAGAGCAAGGTATGTGGGAAGGAGTAAGAAAATTCCAAGACCTTTTCTGGGCAAACAACCCTTCAAAAACCTCAGCTATCAAAATTCTGTCCTTTTGGGCTTTTATGTAGGTTTCATTACATAGACTGATTTGCGTATCATAGGCATCAAGGGCCACTGAAGATCAATTTAACCTTCAGCCTTTCTCCCCTCCCCCAAAGACAGAAGGGTAGTGCTGAAAGTCCCAACAGTAATCCTACCTTGGATTTTCTGGTGACCAGCCCCCATCTCATAGCTACATAGGGGCTGCCAGCCACCAGTCAACTCATTAGCATACAAAAGGCATTTATCACTTTGGAGATTCCAAGTACTCCTGAAACTGCATGCCAGGAAACTCAGGTTAAATTTTTTAAAAATGTACACACACATACAACACATGCACATAATACCACTCCTCTTTAAAGTTTTCTGGCTTCCCCTGTCCTTTAGTTCCTATCCTTTTGTCTTCACTTAAGCGTCAGTCTGTCCATCAGTCTGTCCCTGAGGTCTCCCAGTGACCAACCATTTTTTTTTTTTTTGAGAGAGAGAGAACTTCAATATTTATTTTTCAGTTTTTGGCAGACACAACATCTTTATTTGTATGTGGTGCTGAGGATCGAACCCGGGCCGCACGCATGCCAGGCGAGCGTGCTACCGCTTGAGCCACATCCCCAGCCCAACCAACCATTTTTAATAAGTGCAACTCCCAACCCCCTGTATTACTATCTCCTTTCCTGCTTTATTTTTCTCCACCATCCTTATTACAAACTATATACTATACATATTAATATATTATGTAGAACATAAACTCTAAGTGGGCAGAAATTTATATCTATTTGCTCATTAATATATGTACCGGATCCTTTAATACAGCTGGCAGAGTTTACAAGACCTCATAGCCTGAGTTTTTTTTTTTTTAATGGGATTTTGCACCCAAGGGCACTTAACCACTGAGCAACATTCACAGCCCTTTTTGAGGCAGGGCCTTGCTGAGTTGTTGAGGCTGACTCTTAACTCAGGATCTTCCTGCCTCAGTCTCCAGAGTTGCTGGGATTTACAGGCATTATGTGCCATCATGCCTGGCACATGATCATACTTCATGTCCTATTTAAATAAATGTGCTTGGCTATAAAATTCTAGGTGGCTTCAATACTCTGAAAACTCTTTTTTTTGTTTTCTTGCATCTAGTGATATTGCAGGAAATTTTTATTTGCTTCCTTGTAAGTGATCTGTTCTGAGATCCTAGTATTTTTCTTTTGCTTTGATCTTCTTGACTATTAAGCTAGGACTTAATTTGACTCACCTAGGAATGAGTTTTCCTTATTTCTCACCTTTAGCATTCTAAAGAATCTCAAGCACAGGTCTTTGTAACTGTGAAGGAGAATTACTCCATTATTTCTTCAAGCATTTCCTCCCTTTTATTTCTCTAAAACTTCTATTAAATCAGATGCATCTCTACATTTACTCTACTTTTCTCCTTGCTTTTTCTATGTCTTTTTCCTTATTATAAAAGATTTTCTTAATGTCTCAGTTGTATCCATTCTGTTATGCTTCCCATGTATAATATAACCATTGTATTCTTCATGCCTACTATTTGTTTGGTTCTCCCAGCCCCTGTGAATTCTTATTTCAAATTGTTAACATCTCCCTTCATTTCTTCTAGGATGATTATCAGTAGCTAACTTTAAATTGTTGGTCAATCTGTCCTCACGTTTCTGTTCCAATTAAGCCTATATAGTTTCGATTAAAGTATTTGTGTCCTTCAACTGTATTTTTCTGTGAAGCATATGGGGGAAATCCAGACTCCAGCCCATCAGCCCCTGTAAGCTGGAGAAAGAAATGAGGGCTCCAGTAGAAAGCTCCACTCCAAACCAGAATCTACAAAATCACTCCTCAGATCAGGGTTTCACTCTTTGTTCCCCAAGGACAGAAACATGATGATAGAGACTTACCAAGACCTAAGGATAAGGGACAGAGACTGCCTAAAGTCTTTGTCACTACCTGATTCCCAGTTTGTTTTTCTCAACTCCTCACAAGATGGGTACCAAGCATGGTACTTGAGGGGAAGTGAACTAGGAATCTCTGCCACAGGTGTGGAAAAAGGTAACTCCAAGGTAACAACGCAGGAAAGAAATAGGAGCAGTTTTCCAACAGTTCCTTTTCCCTACAGTTGTATTCTTACACAGCCATGCCTGACACTTATTTCAAGACAGTCCTCCCTTCTCCCATCAATTCAAAAAGATCCCCATCACCCATTACTTCTCACAATATTTTCCTTTTATAGTTCTTCCAAGCACGACTTTGGGGAAGGGAGCCAGCAGTCACGCTAGTTCAGCATAGAGATGGGAACAGAAAATGACTTCTTGGCAGTTTTGAAGAATTTAAACCACAGTGAGGGTTTCTTACATTAACACCTGGTAGAAAGTGTTGTCCCATTAAAAAGATAATGAATATAAGAACCTTTTTGAGGAAGTGTTTCTGAGAAAATGCAAATATAAGAGTAGCTCTTAAAAACTGTCCTTTTGTAAAAGAAACATCTATAAAGGAAATCTATAATCAGTAAAGAATCTGTATCAGGAAAATGGCTGATGAGACTTTTATTACCCAAGAGACTTTATCTGCATAACAAGACAACCTTTATTCACCATACAATTCCTTCCCTCATTCTGCCATAAGGCATGTGGCCATCAACCCTAGAACCCCCAAAACCCAATGCCTTCTGTAGCTCAGGAGATTATACAAGTTTCAATATTGGACCTTTTTTCCAGTCTTTATTTTGTGAGAATTTGTAAGTACATGACTATGTTTTTTTTTTTTCTCTTATTAATGTCTTATGTTAACTCACAGCCCAACGAATCTAGAAAGGTAAACCATTTTTCACAACTTATAAGAGGTACTCCCATATACAGAAACTCGTTCCCCTCACAGGGTATGTGTACACAAGCTTTCTCGCTTTCTTTTCTTTTCTTTTTTTTTTGATACCAGCGATTGAAGCCAGGGACATTTACCACTGAGCCTAGCCCTCTTTTTTAAATTTTATTTAGAGACAGGGTCTCACTAAATTTCTGAGGCTGACTTTGAACTCAAGATCCTCCTGCCTCAACCTCCAAAGCTGCTGGATATACAAAGTTTGCATTACTGTACCTGGCTACAAGCTTTCTTTACAGGTTTTCGACTAATTTTCCATTCCATCTTGGTATTCTCCAAGTCTCCACTTCCACCACTCAACACCTACCATTATGAATGGCAAACTCAATTTGCCTCCTTTACCACTCATCTCTCAAGAGTTTTTAGCATTGAGTTTTCAAACTGTTAAGTTGTACCCCAATAGGCCTAAACACTCCCTCAGAATTAATGAATACAAAATAAAACAATGCTTAACAAAATTATATTTTATATCATGGAAACCATTTCTGTTACTCCAAGTAGCTAACACTTACTGAACATGCTTGGGAATCTGAGGCAGGAAGATCAAAGTTCCAGGCTAGCCTGGGCAAAGTAATAAGACCCTGTCTCAAAATAAAAATCAAAAAAAGAAACAAACAAATAACAGCAGCATAAAATGTGGAGATGTAGCTAAGTGGTTAAGGGCCCTTGGGTTCAAGCCCCAATACCAAAAAAGAAAGAAAGAAAAAAAGCATGCAGGGCCCAGTAGCACACACCTATAATCCAAGCAACTCAAGAGGCTGAGGCAGGAGAATTGCAAATTTGAGGCCAACTTCAGCAATTTAGCAAGGTCCTTGCAACTTAGCAAGATCCCATCTCAAAACAAAAAAATTTAAAAGGGCTGGTGTTGTGGCTCCATGGTCAAGTGCTCCTCCATCCCCAGTATCCAAAAAATAATAAAGTAGTTGGTTTTTGTTTTATTTTTGTGGTACCAGGAGCACTTTAATGCTGAATTACATCCCCAGTCATTTTTGGCTTTTTTTTTTTTTTTTTTTTTTTGAGACATGGTTCAGGCTGCCCTCAAACTTGTGGTGCTCCTGCCTCAGACACCCAAGTAGCTAAGAGTACAAGCATGCACCACCATGACTGCCTGAAAAATGAATATAAAAAGGGGTGGAGGTGTAACTAATGATAAAGCATCCCTGGGTTCAATTCACAGTACTACCACATTCTATATTAAGCACTTTCGGATCATGCATTCTTTAAAGCACTTTTCATATAATAACGCATTTAATCCTTAGGGAGATCCCAAAAGGTAGACAGTATTGCCTCAATTGCAGAAAGAGAACTGAAGCAAAGAGAAAGAAAACATGCCCAAATCATGGAGTACAAGCACTATGGCTGCAGAAGCCACAACTATTCCTATTACTCCCATGTGTAATAGGACACAATACAAAATTTATTTTTCACTGGGGGGGTCATGATTAAAATTTGAAAGCCTTAGTACTTGTCTTTTCTTTTCTCCAAGACTCAAAATTTTTATTCATTCTTCTACCTAGGTCAAAAGTCACTTCCTTAGTCAACAGTTTTTCTGAATCCCAAGGGAAGTTAATGATGTCAAAGCACCTCTATTAAAATACTTACTTGGGGGTGAGGGTGTAGCTCAGTGGGAGAGCATGTGCAAAACCTTGTGTTCAACACTAGCGCACACACACAAAAAAAAAACCCACATATTTTTATCTTTTCATCTGTGTGCCTACTAGACTGAAATCCCAGAAAGCTGAACAGTTAGTTTTATTCATCTCAGAGATGATAAAAGGGTGGTTTCCACCCTATACTCAGTCCAAGAGACTCCTATATACCTCATCTTCAAATCTCTACCTTTAAAGACAACTATGATTTTAAGAGTAAAATAAAAACTTATCAGTAGCAGAACTAACTGTTCTATAACTTCCTTAAAGCTGTGGGAGCCAGGTGCTCGCCTGTAATCCCAGCAGATCAGGAGGATGAGGCAGAAGGACTGCGTGTTCAAAACCAGCCTCAGAAAAAGCAAGGCACTAAGCAACTTAATTAGACCCAGTCTCTAAATAAAATTCAAAACAGGGTTATCGATGTGGCTCAGTGCCCCTGAGTTCAATCCCCAATACGGGGGGGGGGGGGGGGGGGGGGTGGCGCCCATATAAAAAACCAAAATTTTCAACCGGCACATGAGAATGAAAACAATTTTTTCCTTTAAAAATTTTTTTCTTTTAAAAAAGAAACTACTACCAGACGTTTAAAAACGTGAAATGTGTCCCTACAGTATACTCCAGCACAATATGCAAAACAAACAAGCCGCCAGGAAATAACGTAAAAATACATCAATAGGGATCTGGTTATAGATATTTGTTGTACAACACTATAGCACAATACTATACAAGTCTTTAAAAGAAAGAATTGTATGTATTTATAGAAAGCAGCCCATGATATAATCTGAAAAACTGAGTGGAAAAATACATACAAAGGGGTGCCCTTATGATTTAAAAATGTGACTTGGGGTAGGTACAATCAGAAAGGATAAACATCAAGCAGTTAACATTAGCTAGCCGGAAGAGCTGGGTTAAGAATGTTGGACTGCTACCTTTACACACCTATGTATTTTGCACTTTTAAGACTTGTGATCCTGACCAGTACCGGGAAGCAAAATATTGTGAAATAAATACTTTTAAACTAAAATACGTTTTCATATTGGGAAATGTACGAGGAGGGGAATACATCTGAACTGACGTGTCTTAATACTTAATACCTAAAGACTCCAAATATCTTTGACTCATAATTGTTCCGCGTGCAACGTCCTAAGGCCAAGAGCAGCCCATTTTCAAACTTCAGCAAGTACGACCACCATCGAGGTGCACTGATTAAAATACATACCCTGGAGCCCCATCCCAGGATAAAGTTTCCATAAGTCTGGGTGTGGCCCCCAAACAGGCATTTTTCAAATAAGCATTCAAATGAGGCAGACAATTCGCAGTCTAAAATGATTAAAGCTCAGGTCACGCCAATATCATCCTTCCCGTCTCACTCTCTCCCCCCGGCTCTCCTCCAAAGTGCCTCGGTACTCCTCAGATCCTGCGCCGAGTTAAGCATCTTCAACTAGACTACTTGGATTTTAAGTTTCGGCTGGCCTCCCTCAGCCTCCATTTTCTCTTCCGCGGGCGGGCGTCTCACAGCCCTTCCCCCACCAGCCTTCCTTCCGCCCGGCGCGACCGTTCAGCGCCGCCACCCACGCCTCAAGTTCCTCCAGCCCGCTCCCGCGCTCCGAGGCCCGCACAACTGCGGCCCGCACCGAGGCCAGCTCCCCCCTCTCCACCTCCCGCTCCGGTCCTCCCGAAACCCCGCATACAAAACCCAAGATCCACACCTTATGGTCGCTCCATGAGTCGCTCCCCCTCGGAGCCCGGGGGGGAGAAGTGGCAGTCGCAGGTCCTAAACCCCCAGCAGCATTTTTGAAATGGCGAGGAATGAGGGCGCAACTTCCGGCTTCCTAAACCCCCCCATCTCCTACGAGAACTTCCGGCGAGGCCTCCGGAAACCATAGATGGGGCAACTGGAGGACTACGAGAGCTAGAAAGGCTGGGCTCTCTACCATAGAGTAGATCCTAGTCCGGGGAGAGAGTCACGCACCTGGGCGACTGGAAGTTGAGGTTTCGAGAGAAAACATTTGGGGGAAGTTGTAGGGTCTTGTGATGGTCACAGAAGTAGCCTAGGAGATCACAAAACAGGGAAGGAAGAAAGTTTAGAACAAAATCAGAGGAGGCCTTCAGCTCGTCGGAAAAATTACGTATGCTTCCTTGCCACTGTTCCTTAATGTAATTTATTCGTCGTTATGCCCCTGGGGTGGCCGGAGAGCGAAAACGGAGCATCCGGCGTTGTCACTAATTGGGGGAGATTAGATTGGTATATTCGCAAATAACTGCTAATTATGTGACAAATACTAAAAGAGAGGTGCCAAGAATAGTGAGAGGGAGCTTGCTTGGATCACACAGCCAGGCCATCTGGTCTGATCTCTCCCAAAGCCACAAAAGCGTCTTCAGCAAGGCGGCAGGCAAGCTGCCTTCAACTTCTGTCGCATCCAGGAAGAGGGCATTACTCCTCACTACCTAATTTCATTTATTTTCTTTTCCTTCCTTTTTTTTTTTTTTCCTCTCCCCCGACTCTTTGTACTGGGGATTGAACCTAAGGGTGCTTTACAGCAGGACCACATCCCTAGCCCTTTTTTATTTTTTGAGACAGGGTCTTGCTAAATTGAGAAGGCTGGCCTCGGATTTGTGATCCTTCCTCCTCTGCCTCCGTAGTTGGAATTGCTAGGATTACAGGCGTGGGCCCGGCTCTCATTTTACTTATTTCAGGATGATCCTGAGATTTGGAGGATATTCTGAGCTGTAATATTATTTTGCCTGGCAATTTCTTTTGGTTTTAGCGCAGTCCTTTGGAGAACAGATTAAGGCTTCATTGCTTCCAGTATGAATACTGCTCAGTTATTTGAAGACAGCTATCAATTCTCGTCTCCAACTCTCTCCCTGATTTCTCTGCAGGATAAAGCCCCCTTAGTTTTTAATTTTTTTTTTTTTTAACTTTGCTTGGAGTCTCCTGACCACACTGATCGCTCTCTTCTGTTTAAACATGGCTCCTTAGATACCCATGCAAAAGAAAATTAGGCAATAACCTTCCTTAATTTGCAAGTTGCCCCTTGCTCTACTTTCTAGCATAACTTCCTGCATGGCTGGAAGATTCAGAAGCTGAAGAAATAATTCCTTTCTCACGGTTGTTTACAGCTAACTCAAAGTGAACAACCTCTCAAAAAAAAGGAGGGGAGGGCTTTTTGGGGTGAACCACTGTCAATCTCACCCCCCCCCATATCCTTTGTTTAACTTCCAAACAGGAATTTGTTTTGTATCTTTCAAATAGCCTTTGGTTAGCTTAGGTCCCTTCCTACTGTCTCCCAGAGACAGTAAAAAGAATATAAATATAAAAATAATAAAGTCTTGATAAATACGTTAAATATTTATGAAATCTTAAAGAGTAGAACTTTTAGCTGACCGTGGCAGCTCAGGCCTGTGATCCAAGGGTTCAAAGCCATTGAGAGGCCCTGAGCAACTCAGTGAGACCCTGTCTCTAAATAAAATACAAAAAAAGGGGCTGGGGATGTGGCTCAGTGGTCCAGTGCCCCTGAGTTCAATCCCTGGTTGTCTTGTCTCTTCCCCACCCCACTCCCCAAAAAAGAATAGAAATTTTTCCATCATGATTGACTCTGATTTTTGATTAATCATTCATCTTCCAGTAGTATTGTTGTTTGTTTGTTTGTTTTTTTCCCTCCTTTGACACCGAAAATTGATCCCAGGGAAGCTTTACTACTGAGCTACAGTCCAAACCATTTTTCCCCCAGTCCTTTATATTTTTTAATTTGAGAAGTTCTCACTTAATTGCTGAGAATCTCGATAAGTTCCTGAGGCTGGCCTTCAATTTGTAATCCTCCTGTTTTGTCTCCCTAGTCTGGGATTACAAGTGTGCACCATCACACCCAGCTTGCAAATTACATTTTTGCTCATTATTGTGAAGTTCGGTGATATTAAATTGTGTATGTTGTCCAGGCTTTCATGAACTTTTAGCCTCAAGTGATCCTTCTGCCTCAGCCTCAGTTGCTGGGACTACAGGCATGTGCCATTATAGCCTGGTTACATCACATTTTTTTACTCATTTCCTCTTTTTATGATATTTAAGGGCTGGGGATATATTTAGTGGTGGAGTGCTGACCTTACATGTGGTGTGATCATATCCCCTAGATGTGATCCCCAGCACTGAAGAAAAAGAAGAGAAGGAGGAAGAAGAGGAGGAGGAGGAGAACAAGAAGAATTAAGTGTTTACAATTTTCTGTTACAAACAATCCTGCTGTTGACACTCTCTCTAACTTGTCTCCATGCGCACAGTACAGAGAATTATTGACTGTATATATACTGTTCACTCTATTATGCCAGTGTCTTCTCCAAAGTAATTATAAAAGTATACACTCCCAGCAGAAGTGTTAAGAATTCTGTTGCTCCACATCTTTGCCAATCATCAGCATTTTCAGATTATTTTTTTTAAAAAAAGCATGATAGATATGAAATGGTTTCTCCTATGAAATAATTTCCCATAGTGGTTTATTTTATATGTTCATGATTAATATAATGAGTATTTTTTCCATAATTATTGACTTAAGTTTCCTCATCTATGAATTGCCTAAATATTTTGTCCATTTCTCTATCAGACTGTCTTTTTCTTATTAATCTGTATGAGTTTTTATATAATCTGGATACTAGTCCTTCTTGGTGATAGGTATAACAAATAACATCTTCACATCTGTAGCTTGTTTTTACTATTTAATTTTGTCTTTTGATGAACAGAAATTTCTAATGAAGTAAAATGTATTAGTAATTTTCTTTGTTTTGTAAATTTTAGATATATTTTTAAAGTGACTCTTCCCTGTCTGGGTCATGTATTTTGTTCTAAAAGTTCCAAAGATATGCTTTTCCCATTTAAGTCATTAACTTATGTAGAATTGATTTTTGTGCATGTTGTAACATAGGATTCCAATTTTATTTTTCAATTTGAATAATAATATTATGGCTCTGTTACTGAATCTATAAACTGAACATAAGTCTGTAGCTCTTGAATTAATCATTTCTTCTTATTTAACATTGTCATTGAAGATTTTGTAAAAGAACTATAATTCAAGTGGAGCCTTAACAAAATTAGTAGGAGCTGGATGCAGTGGTGCATGCCTGTAATCCCAGCAGCTTGGGAGGCTGAGACAGGAAGATCAGAGTTCAACAGTACCCTAAGTTCAATTCCCGGTACCCACCCCCAAAAAATAAATAAATAAAAATAAAAAGGGGTGTGGGGTGTGGCTCAATAGTTAAGCACCCCTGGGTTCAATTTGTGGTAAAAATTTAAATACATAAATCAATTAGGATTTCAAGAGGCAGAGGTGGGAGAAGGCATTTGAAGAAGAGACATGGCATAAAAAAATGGGGAGAGAAAGAAGGAGGGTTCAGAAGACACAGAATGAGAAGAGTCCACTTTGATGAATTGTTAGTTGTTGTGTATAAGATTGTGATAATATTGAATCACACTAATATAGTAGCCACTGGCCACAGGTGGCTTGAAATGTGGTGAGTGGGGTGTGCTGTAAATATAAAATATATACCATAAGTTATGTACAAGGGGGCTGGGGTTGTGGCTCAGAAGTAGAGTACTTGCCTTAGCATATATGAGGCACTGGGTTAGATCCTCAGTACCACATAAAGTAAAATAAAGACATTGTGTCCACCACATAAAGTAAAATAAAGACATTGTGTCCACCTATAAGTAAAAAATAAATAATTAAAAACAAATAAATACCAGACTTCAAAAACTTAGAAAGGAAGAAAATTATGTGAAATATCTTGTTGATAATATTTTATATTGATTACATGTGTTGAATAAAACATTATTAAAATTAATTTCAGCTGTTTCTTTTTACATCTTAAAAGGTTACTGCTAGAACATTTCTAACTACTGTTGTGTTATACAGTTCTAGTAGATGGTGCTGGTATAGAATGCTAGCAAAATAGGCTGGGCCTATTTTATGGAGAATTTTGGATGCCTGAATATTCAAAAGTTACTGTAAGGAATAAATAAAAATTTTTTAAAAAGTTACTGTAAGGACTGCCATAAAAATTTAATGTGTTATTCAATATGTAGTAAGGAAGAATAAAAGGTTCTGAACAAAGAAAAGCCAGTATTATAATAGTCCTAATTTCATGGCTCAGTGTCCCATCTAAACACAGCCGCTTTAGAAACCATTCTGAGTAGAATGGTTTTTGAGTAGAATTTGCATATGATTTTTATAATAAAGAGTATTTAATATGGTAATCATTGTGATTGTTTTTAATATAACATGAATGGAACAAATTTGATGTGTTCCCCTTTGAGTGGGAAACTTAAATATTAATGTGACAGATTTGTAATAGCACCTCACTAATTAAGGGATAAAATTCTTCCTTTTGCCAGGAATTAAGTTTGTCAGCTTTTATGATTACATCTGCCTCCGCTCTAATCAAATATGTTAATCTTTGTTGAAGGTGGACAGCTTCAAGGACTGGTAAAAGAGCAGAACCCATACAGCTTTGTTATTGTGACATCTTTGCCATTAAGTCTTTTTTTCTTAAAGGGCCATTAAATCTTGATGTGACCTCATATATACTTTTTTAATATATATTTTTAAGTTTTACATGGACACAATATCTTTTTTTTTTTTTTTAATTTTCATGTGGTGCTGAGGATGGAACCAGTGCCTCACACATGTGAGGCAACCGCCCTAACACTGAGCTACAACCCCAGGCCCTCTGTATACTTATTAAATGTCAGACCAGTTATAAACAATTTATAATGCTATCTTATTTATTCTCATGATCATCCTATTGTCCCCAGACACAGAGAAGCAGTTAATTCAAGATTA